CTGGAGTTCAGCAATGAGTATCGGTGATTAAAACTTGAAAAGCGGGCACACAACAAAATTCAACACAATTGACACCCAATACACTTACAGTTTCTTAAAGAGTCACCGTACTGCTGAGTAACGTTTCCAAGCTGTGATCAGTTTAGGTTCAGCTCAATGGCATATGAAGTCCGAGGGAGAGATATTTGTGAAATGATACGTACGGAAAAATACGTGACACAAATCAAATTGTTTTCAATGCCTTGACCATTTAAAATTTGCATTCGGCTAACATGTGGTTAGAACGCGTACTAGCTAGAATACTACATAGCTCTACACCGCTTTCGTCGGAATTGTTAAGAGTACATTATGGCTTGTTGTGATTACCAATTACGTTTTTGTCACTGATTTCGGATACAAATCGTTATTCATTTCACGTGCAAAAACGCTCATATAGGAAAACCGTACAAAGAAATATACAGCCTCGGATAAACCACATAACCAAAAGTTTTGAAAAGACTAATTCTGCGACCGTAATATTAGGTGACTGATAAGCCTCTAACCGAAGGGTTTACACTGAGGAAAATTGCAACAAGACTGAGTCCTCGCAGTTACGACTGTTTTCGTAGACTAAACGCAAAAGCAGAAGGGCACACATAGGAGAGTACCAGTTAAGATCTAAAAGAAAACCTAGTGACGGGAAGTAGGTGGGTTTGATGTTAGTGCATAAAGGCTCAATCTGACATGAAGCCGTTTTTCGCTTTTTGAACATATAGGTCAGCAATGCGAAACAAAAACCATATCCAATGTTCTTGGGACCATTTTTATTGCCATTTACTGCAGAAAAGTTATGTAAAGACAGGTAAAAATATGTGCTTTAAATTTCAATCTATAAGTGTGTTGAAGGTCTGTGATCTTAGGTGATGTGAACTTCCTGCAAGACAACTAAGTTTTCTTCAGAACAATTGCGGCTTCAATCCTAGCACAGCAATATGTGAAATATAATGAATTTTTTTTTAAAATTTCCATGGGTAGAGGCTTAACAGAAGTAAACACTCTCATAGGCAAATTTGGGCTGTAGAATGTTCCTAATTGGAAGAAACTCAGAACAAAAATAAATAATACAATGTGTTTACATATGCAGATATGATAGATGGGTTTCATCGATTTGGTAAAGGAACAATTAAGTTCCGCTTCTCTTTGAAGAGCTCACAAGTAGAGCGCGGGTAGGTAGACACACAGCGACTATGAGAATAGGATAAAATGGATCCGAAAAGCAAACGGAGACCAGAAGGACTATTTCTGGTTTGTTAGTCGTCATCAGCCAGTCATAATTTATCTCAAGGTTTGGAACCCCAAAAATTCGAACCCGGGACATTTGGTCATTGAGTTAAACATCTTACCTCTGCACCACGGACCAGAAATGACCATTCCGGTTTCTCTACGCTTTCTTGGATCCAGTGTATATGCATATTTATTTCAACCAACGGTTTTTTAATTGCCTGAAGACATAATACGAAGAAACCTGTTATCTTTAAGTAAAATTATTGAGAAAACACGTTGTTAAACTACTCCTAAACAAAGCGTATTAATATGGAAGGAAACAAAACACCTAGCACATTGATAGCTAGTATTTTTTTAAAAAAGTTTTCTATCAATCCTTTTTATGTGATCCAATGGGTTATAAAAATTTCTTTTCGCATGATTTCTAACTGTAAATAAAAAAATCTAGGAGTTTTCAGGAGGCGAACTTAAGTACTTGTGTCAGTCGGGAGCCATGCTTATTGCTCCTTCACTTTAAATTATTCAAAGCAGAATTTAAGGTTTTACATTGAAGGGTTAGCATAAGCAGTATTTGCTTAGTAGAAATATGCACACACCGGAAACATTGTATTTTAATAATTGAATACCAAATCAAAAGTTCCGTACATGTTGACACACTTTACTTCACATGCACGCCCACGTCTAAGCAAACTAAATTTTCATAACCGGATAAATGGTGTCCCATATTGAGTTTAACGGACAAAATATTTAAACATTCATTAATCTGTAATATGTTCATGTAATTCTTATACTAAGAGGAAGCTAAAGAATAGCCTTACGAGGTTTCTGTTTTGATAGCAAGCGACGGTTGGGGCAAAATGCATTTTCTACGTTTACTTTTCACCTTTACTCCCAAATTCCTGTTTGTCATAACCCTTGCACGTAGTCTTTTCACTGGCAGCTTTCTTTAATTTTTTGCTAGCATGGTAGCCAGCCACGATTGCTACTGTTTGCTGCAGGTTATATTTAAATGACAGCTAATCATTTGGCGGCAGAACGCGGCGTTTTAATCACACCCCCAGGACAACTTCGACCAACAGGTTCAACCTAAGGCCAGATTGTGTAGAAAGCTCATTACATCCACTTCTCCCCTGGCTAGGAAAACTTACCTTATCCGGGCCAACTCTTGGCAGTCTGTTTTTAGACAACGCCAATTACTTAAGTTGTACTCTCCTAATGCTTAACACGAACCATTACCGGGAGTTAATTCGTGCGTGAGGTCATTCAGACAGCGGGACTGGGAGTGTCTCCTGTCACCCGTAAAGGATAGAGTGTAGGAGAGAAAATAGCATGCTGTATACATTTGCATTGTGTGGAGGTGTTTGAGTATGATGGAATGTATTTTATTTAGATGTACTACGTACTCTGTGCGAATAAACCGACAGAAAACTGTTTCCGAAATCCCCATAGCCAGTTTAAATACCCCTTTTCTTTTCAATTTAGCGCGTTGCACAGAACGTTGTTCGTATGCGTATAATATCTTATTTATTTTGTATTAATAGACAAATTCATAATTTTGGCACAAACGAAATTCCGCGTAAATCCAGATAGGCCGTACATTAATAATTACCATCGTTACATGTGTTTCGTGTAACCGGGGACATTAAAAAATAATCGAGAAATGTATACTTAACTTATTTTCCTTTACCTAGGACACCAGTGTTCGGTTTGCTGCATCATGAAATGCTCGATATAAATAACTATTCTATTTCTTAAAGAAAACTGCTTCATACAACCCTGGGGTTTATTTAAACTTAGTTGGGAAAGAGGCCTACGCCAAATAAATTTCCTTTCTTTACGTGATGGTTAAACGTTGTTGTGGGATATTTCTTAGATAAAACACATTTCAGAACATAAAAGCCAAACATGGTCACCTATCGACAAAATACAAGTGTATGAAGACGTTTGCTGGTTGGATTGCGTCGTGGTGTGCATGCATGGACCTCGCAGACAGTACCATAATATTGTGTTTAGCAAAGGAGGGATTAAAACGACAAAGGATACTATGATCGCGATTTCTGGCGGCTTAAACAGCCAAATCCAACTTCAGTTCCAAGGACTTAGGACTTGAATATAGGATCGTTATTTAGTGACTTGTTTTCGTGTCGGAGACTTTCAGTGGTTGCATCAGTGATGTTCGGGTGTATGCATTATTCTAAAACGGGCATCCTTTGACAAGCTAGAGAGCATGCTTGAATAATTTAGATTTAAGCGTCAGGCGGACCGGAAGAGGACAGCTTATAATTTAGAAGTATATCTCGCATTTTCAATTCCCTATAGCTGTGTTCATTATCAAGTTAATTTATAACAATAGCAATTTTAGAATAAAAAGAGATTATTTTTCCTTCTTTCGTATCGCCTTTAGAGAAGTTCGAATGTGATATTCATCAGCAGAATACCCCTAAAAAGAGCGCGCTTTTTATTGAATGGACATCAAACAGTAGGTTGTCATTTGGCCGGGATATTATTCAGCGCAAGACTTTTTTAAGCAGAGACCATTATTAACAGAGGTTTGGGTGGGTCTATGAGTAGGGCCTGTACTGTTTTCCACAGAAATAAGGAAATGTTATGATAAACTGCATTAGTTTTTTGTCAAAATATAGGACAACAAAAGAGGCTAAAATCCTACTTTCTGAAATGATGCAAACTCGAGTCCTATTCGCCAATATTTCAGAAACCACAGCCGTCGGAAGACATTCGTTACGAAACCGAAAGGAGGACGCAGAATACGCAATGTTAGCTATCGAATGTACTTATTTAAGTCCGAGATGTTAGTTGGAAACCGTACATGGTCTGGTGAAGCACCCCCATTCTCCGCAAGGCCTCTCTGAAAAATCGAAAAAAAATCACTTTTTTCGGCTAATGCACGGATTGGTTAATTTCCTACGACCCTTTGCAAACAGTGCTCTGACGTCATGATTTCACGAACCACGCGAGTTTTTTTGAGTTTCATGCCTTTACGCCCTTCATCTTTAACGTTTATTTTAGTTAATTTATTCTTATTAGCCTTATTTGATGTCAGTAGTTTCTAATTGTGCTCTCGGTAAATGCAAATTAATTGTTTACTATGCGAAGATAAATCGCTAAGCTAACCAAATGTATTTAGCCTGCTCACTTACTGTAAGGAAACCTCTCGTAGTTGTCCTACAATAAATCATGTTTTTAGGGATTTTCACACAAATTTCGCAATTTCTCAAAACACTACAGTCCAAAGTTTTCTTTAGAAGTTTGCAAACTAATTTTTAAAGTTGCGTGTTTCATTATGATAGCGCTGCTGTCCGCACACCGATGTATCTCCGTGGTGAGAAAATACATTCTATTTTAAAAGATTATCGGCTAAATGACTGATTATTTAAATATAACTCTCGGCAGAAACACTCAGGTAGGTGGCACTGAAATACAGGTTAACCTGCAAAGGAATCCCAATCTTCTTTTGGACACACTATGTTAAGCTTACTCTTGAAATCGTGTCTATTTTCATTTTAATAGCGTTTTGATGATACCGTAAGTTACATATAGTTTGTTAAAAGTGTCCACAAGGACACGCTTTGTATTCTGTGATTTCCTTGTTATTTTATATAAAGGCAAAATTTACTTTTATTTGCATCCTGCCCTCGATTCCCTTTTTTACTTTAAAACCTATCCACTTTCGAGTAAGTTATCTACAAAGAAAGCGTCCAGCGTCCCATCAATCAGACTTACTGTATCCACTTTCGTCTAAATCGCCGTCGTCTCGACTGACGTTGGCCAGCGCCGGATTGGGCAGCCTTGCGATCACTTTCACTAGCAACAGATGGCTCCATTATTTGGATAACATGAGCGGGATAACGTAGCGTCTTTGCAGAGGGTGTCTGTGGGGGTTGATTAACGAGGACCTGCGGGAACACCCGATTTTCTCGCATTCTCCTGCCGTCAAAAGTGGCCAGATTGATGTCCACTGGATAACTGGCGCTGGCAAGAGAGGCAAAGGCTCTGGGCTCAGAGATGTTGGAGGCAGTATTCTCCTGTGGGTTGGAGAAACAGATGTGACCGGTAAAGCCGGGCGTACAGCAGTCTGTCGAGGCAGTACCCTGCTGATTATTGAGTACAACCTCCCTCGAAGGGAATTTTTTCGACTGCGAGTAAAACTCGTCAGGCAGTATTTCGAATTCCATGCCTTAGCAGGGGGCTCAGTAGGACTATTACTGGTGGCAGCGGTAAATATCAAAGTCTCTGAAATTGTTTCAGCCAAAGTGACATCAGCATGTGGACTGGGTGAAAAATCGTGGGTAGCTACAGAGTTAAAGTGCGCATGCAAAGACCAAATATTTATAGGGTTTTGCAAATGTTTCCCAATGTTGAACACACACACATTTATTATCTTCTTTCACACACACAGCTCAGGTGGGAAATCAAGCAAAATTCGGACCCTAATTGCTCACCTGATTGGATGGACGAACGGCCAATCAGCTTTTTAGAGGGTTATATTTCTCAAATCAGTACGCATAATAGATATACTCGTGTCATGTTTGCCAAGTAATTTCACGCTGAACACTGACACGCTGAAAAGCAAAAATTATAGTACTTAAATAATATAGAAAGCGTTAACGTGCTAAAACTTATTGGCCCTTGAAAGTAACATCACAAAATCCTGCTTTGCTATCAGACAGAGACGAGCTACACAGGACAACTAGAGAACAATTATTGACCCATGGACTCAAACAAGGACCAAAAGGTTTAAAATACGAAGTGTGTTCTGATGCGTATAAAGTAAGGCTTATGTAGCCGGCTTAATATTCTATTTATGTTTCGTTTAAGCTTTTGAGCGTGTAGAATAATATCAGATCAAATTTTCAGTGAAGATCGGCTGGTAAATTATGATAAACTAATCGGCCCTTCGGTTTGCTATGAAAAACAACTGAATACAATACGTTTTAATATCACTGGAGCTACACATAATTTCGTAGACCGAGATTATTTTGAGCGGTCCATCACTGCCAAAACACATATTCCTTCAACAAATAAAATGATATGCTGACAGATGTGAAGGTGAATACTTAGGATAATATGTTTGGGTACTTATCAAACTGCGTCAAAACCATCACACTATATTTTTGGTTAGCACAGCCTAATAACAAAAGGATTCAGGGCTACTGCTCGGGGCCTTTTGGATCAAGAAATGGGAGTGTAAGCTACGCATAGACCTACCGTATTCAGTTGCAATTTTGAATATTAATGATGCTGCCCTTTTGTTTTTGATAGGAGGGCGCTCAGTAGAGTAATCCAGAGCTGCAAACAACATGCAGTAGGACACAACAATTATCCTGATACTTTTTTATTTAAGATGGGAGATTGCATTCTCTTAACATATTATAATAAGGCAGTGAAATCAGTCTTTATCACCATTCACAATGGAACTGCCTTTTCTTTCTCGGGATCTAAATAGAATATTTATACATCACATCGATAAAATACACGGGACCTAAAAACAACGCAGGAAATCGTAACCTTTTGTCCAAAGATGGGACGATAGAAAACGAAACAATAGACCAAATATAAAATGTATCGTTGTAAGACGTATTAAGAGTGCCCAAGAAGGTATTTTTTCGCCGCATCGTAACTATTTGGCCTTAAACAGACATTTCTGTCAAAATTACTTTAATCGTATATGTGTATATGAGTAGAACTAAAATTATATTTTTTTTATTAAAATTCGAAATTAGCCTGTCGGAATAAAATTAAAAATTTTAAATTCAATATCAAGAAGGACTTGTCTACCGAATAACACACTTCAAAGGACTTACTCGAAAAATCAGCGCATTGTCATGAAACGGTCATGAACCGCTGACCGCTGTTTGCAGACAAAAAAATTTTGCCTTTGAGATAGTGAGGCCATGATATTTCACCCCTGTGCTTTAAGGCTCGTTCTGAGATTTGAGAACGTCCAATCCTCGATTAGAATTAAAGACGTTTGGGATTGGCGATAGAAACGGAAAAGCGAAGTCCACAAAATTAACTGAAGAATCATATTAAAAGTATGTGACCTATCGCATGCAAATTGCCGAACTTAACAAAAATATTGTTAATCACTCGCCAACCAGCACCCAAAAATGAACCAAAGCTTTACCATAGTTTTAACCGACATCCAACCCATTGAAAAACTAAAAGAGATGTTGTCATGCTATAATGTTTACAAATACCAACATTTTTAGGAAGTTGAAAAAATCTGAAAACGTCAAAAATTATATTGACACAGGAAAAACTCCATATGGCAAAAAAAATCAGTTACCAAATCACCCATAGCTGTCTACAGGACAGTTATATATTCCAACATGGTGTCACGACAGTGTGTTATAGATGGTCCGTTTGACACTTTTTGAGATGTGCGTGACCAAAGCAAACAGACTTTTGCACGTTACCGATAGCAAATTGTCAGGAGTGTCATTTACCATAAACTCTCAACGCTCACAGGCCAGTCAGTGATCAGTAAATTTAAATAAATTTGTATTGTATAATCATAAACACACAATTTTTATTAAGATTACTTTCTTAAAATTTATCGATAGTTATTTCGGACGCTTGATTACAATTAATTCCAGCTTGTCGTTGAAATATTGGTGAATATTTAGAGATGTTCAACGTTTTGAAGTGATGGCGTATAAATATAGAGCCGTTTCTGTGCGTTTGTCAAACCCTAATTAATAAAATATTCCTCAAAAGAATTTGTCGAGGTAATGGGTTCTTGGACATTCTTTCTAATGCGAATGGCTTTTAGGCCATAGTGGAAGACTCATCGACACATGAACTCCCATCGCTAAGCAACATGAATATCCACAAAAACACTGCCAACGAGAATGCCCTAAAACGGTCAAATAAATGCAATTAGGTGAGGAGAGTGCTTCGCAAAATATTGCAGGGTCTATGAAATGCATTTGTATGCCACTGCATATCCACCAATATCCATCACTAAGAGTTGCCTGTGGTAGGATAATAGCTTCCTCGCTCGCAGCCGAAACTCAATTTTCGAAAATCTCATCACTCCTTTTGGTTATTGGCTCCTTCTTATACGGAGGTTTCTTTGGACATATTCGCAGACTCAGAAAAACATGAAGTCTCACCAGGGAGAAAAACGTGTACTCAAATAAACGCTGTCAACGAATATATCTTAAATCAGTTTAAAAAATCTAGTAAGATAATGGCAGTGGTTTTCAAAAATATCTTTTATGTTTATCGGATGTATTATTCATGTGTCACTGCATAGCTATCAGCGTTCGCGGCTCCCGCATTCACCGCTGAGAGTGGCATTTACAGTGGATGCCCTATCTCATGAAATGTAGTGGATTCACTAAAAATGTAATTTTGCGCGAAGTCAGCACACGCGGCGTGCCTCCAAACTATTGTAGCAGTAAAGTAAAAACCATAAGTAAAACCAAGGTATAACTTGGTGAAAAAATTTCTATTTACTAGCATAAAAATATTCAAGTTACAAAAAAACTCGAAATTAAGGAACTGGCGATATGAAAAGTCACTGGTCCAATGTTAAATATAAATATGTTTAAGGCATGGGAGTGGAAAAGAATGGCAATTTTATACAGAATAAGTACACATACAAAACTCTATAAGTAGAATTGTTTCGCTTAACATTCAGAATTGCCAGAAATAGACGTGGTCACTTTAAATAAATCTTTTTTCCCAATGTGGATACTTAGTAAATACTTGCTGTCTTTTAATGCATGGAAAGATCCTTGCATGCTTTGTATTAATTTCTATTGACAATTGCAAAATCATTTTCTGTGGTAATCATATCCCGACTCTTATGCGGAATAAGAATAGATCGAATGCCACACACGGATAGGCTGGCTGTTTACTAAACAGTTAGATTACGAGTGTAATGGTAGTCAAATCCATACCATCCTGTGTATATTGAAATAAATGTCCGTTTGTCCCCTTTCTTTGTAATTATTTCGCGATTTCGAGTGCGACGAGCTGCGGATTGTTTTCGAAATTCTGTTGAACACCATGAATTTCATTGTTTTTATTTGTTCGTCTATAAATACCGATTTCGTCTAACCTACTTACCTGAAACATAGCAAAATGAAATATCTTAAAAGAATTTACCTATATAAGGAGTTCTTAAACATTCCTCCTTATGTAGCTGCCTATCGGGGTCATGACCTTAGAATCACCCAAACACGTCAACTCGTTGCCGGAAAAAATGAATTTCCACAACAAAAGCCGAGAATAAATACATCTAATACTGATTATAAAACTTTCTGTAACAAGTTACCTGATCAAAAAGCGCTAAAGTTAGATATTTCGAAGTCGACTATTCGCGTACTATACACTTTTGAAGATGAAGATAAGATCAAAATGAAATATTTTGACCAGTTGTTTACTTCCCTAAAAATTAGAGATAAATACTCCACTGGAAAGAAAAAAAAGTTACATTTCTATGTAAACCAGAGCAGTTTTTAACAAGTTCTTTATTTTCGGGACACCGTTTTTTGATTTTAATTGCACAACAGATTGACCCAAAATATCCTTTGGTATTTGTTAACATGATAATCTTTTGCTTGTTCCGTTCTACGTTTTTATATTCAGTGATTTTCTTCTATATTTTGACAACTTTATGATAGGTTTGTTCAATTGTGTTACTGAGAAAACTTATGACATTCAGAGGTACTTCATGCACAGTCAAATAGACTCAGCAATTTTTACATACTAAAACACATTTTGGTCTCTTGCATGTTTGTTGTTTATCGTTAGGGCACAAAACTAAATAGATTTGATAGGTAACATTTTGTTAACTGAATGCATTTTTCTTTTCTCGACAATAATGCTTTATCTCAGACGAACACTAACCTCAATTTCATAGACGCAAAACAAAATTTTCCATTTTGTGAACAGATATTATTAAAAGATTCCTGCTGTTCATGAATTTTCTTTTATAATGCAACAGGCACAAACAAGAAGTTCTTTTCCGCAGTGCTTAATAGCGTAGGGAATTCTTCGGATATCGACGAACAGTGGATTTCGCCCATTTCCACCTCTATTTTCTTCCAGTATTCTGATCTGAACGGAATTCAATTCTAGTTAACAGCCTTTTGCGCCTCAAGTCAACCCAAAAAACTAAATAAACAACCTCAAATGTGTGTTAAATCCTTCAATCCCCAAC